CAACACAACACTCCAGAGCGTACTTTTTTCTTAGGTGTATTCTAAGTGCTGGCCCAGGTGGACTAGACATGGCTGACGGTGCGGGCCACTTAGGGTCCTGGAAACGCATTGCCCACCTGCACTTACTATGATCACCACGTAGGGAGGGAGTGGTCACTTTGCCCCTCGCTGTCTGCTGCCCGTATCCGCTGTGAAGCGGGGAATCCCTCGATGGAAGCGACGGGCAGAGCCGAGTGACCCACTTCTGGGGCAGGAGGTTCTGTTTGACCCCGGTGTGCGTATTCTGCCAGAGGTAGAGGGAAGGCGCCCAGTCACCATGGGAACCAAGGACGCAGGAAGTGGTGACTTTTTTCTGGGGAGGAGGAGCTGAGCCTGCGCAGTCTTCATTACTTGTTTTCATTACTCCTTTCTCTTCGCCATGAGAGGCAGGGTGAGAGCCTCTTTAACCTGAAAAAAAAAAAAAGAAAGAAAAAAAAAGTCAAGAGTGTAATTACAATCCCTTTATAACCTGCAGTTTATACACTATAGTAACTATTAAGTCCTAGGCAGGTCGCATTTAATTTAAAAACAATGAAGGTTAGCGCTTTCGTATCACCTGAGGATGCTGTTGTTATTTTGCTATTTATTGTACCGGCTTAAGTTGGGGGTAGGCGGGCAGGAGTGCTCCTCTTGGAGCAGGCAGGAGAGAACTAGGGGCAGGGTAGCGGCCATGGTTCCCTGCCTCCAGGTCCTGCAGTAGCCACATCCGTGCCGCGCGCAGGGTCCCCTCCACTGCTCGTGTGTATCTCCACTGTGGCACGGACGGGAGGGGGCCCAAGCGGACACTGTGGGCACTCCAAGAGCTCGGCATCCCTCAAAAGGGCCCCCCAAAAGTCAGTCCCATGTGGAGTCTATCGCCCAACGGAGATCTATCCAACCTCTGAATCCAATTCTGGGAGGTTGGATTTCCGTAACCGAAATCCCACAAATCCTGGGTGGGAGGGGCTTGTGGGAGGCGCTTCGGCTCAGTGAGTGGAGACTAGGCTGTCCCTGAGTCAGGCACTGTCCCAAGAAGATCTCGGCAGTCGCTGCCCATGGCCAGGGTGGCTCTCAGTGGAGACCTGGGGTCGCAGTGGGGACTGAGTGCTTTCCTTAGCCGAGATCTGCAGCCCGCTACTGGCTACTTCACCTTCGCGGGGAAACTCCGATGCAGTAGGAAGAGCCCACAGCCACGCTGCTCCCATCCCCGCCAAGGACGGAAGGACTTGACTTCTGCCCCAACGTGGGGAAAGGTAGATCGCAGAGCCAGGGGCTAGTTGCTCATGCCTGGGGACAGGTGAAAAGAGCAGCGATCCCAGGTAGGAACAGGATTGACCTTACAGAAACCAGGAAGGGCATCACGGGCCTCAAGGAACCATGATACAAGGAGAAACACGAGGCTGAGACGTGGGCAGCAGGCTGGAGCAAGGAGTCTGCATCACCAGCCAACCCCCTTTCTCTGGCAGGTGACCTGAGGCCAAAGTACAAGTAGGCAAAAACCTCACCAAAACAACTACACAACAATATCCCTTAAAAATATAGATGCAAAATATCCTCAACAAAACACTAGCAAACTGAATCAAACCACATATTAAAAATGTTATATGCCATGACCAACTGAGATTTATTCCAGGAATACAAGGGTGTTTCAACAAAAGAAAATCAACCAATGTAATATACCACTTTAATAGAATGAAGGAGGGCCGGCCGAGTGGCGCATTGGTTAAGAGCTGGCTTGGGACGCCAGAGGGACCCAGTTTGGATCCCATATGAGGGCTAGTGACACTGCCCTCTACAGCTAAGATGCTGAACAACAGCTCAACCTGGAGCTGGGCTGCCCGTGAGTCACCAGCGACAGCATAGGCTACAGCCCCTGTGGCAGTGGGTTGCCATGGGCTACTGTATGTAGCCAGCAGCCAGCTG